CGGCACTGACTCTACTCTTTTTCAACTGCATTGCACGCAGTTCAAATATCAAACACTAACACATGCTTACCCTTCTGAAAAAAGAGAAAAGTAAAAGACGATTAGAATCATTGTTATTGTTTAAAAATTACAAGTAATTATTAAAGAAATGTTTAATATAAAAATGAATTTACCTTTTATCTTCAGTGATGAATGCCTGACGGGTCTCCTACCCTTAGGATGACGATGGCACACGKATAAACCGAATAAAAGAAACTTTTGGAGTTTCTTTACCCGAAAAAACGAAACTTTTTACATACGGCGAACAACACTGACTCTAATTTCCGATTTTTCTTTAACGATGCAAACCCTCGAGTACCTCATTGCCAACGCGCCCGATTGCAATGATGTTCTGAAACAGAAAATAAAAAGGAACGATTAGTATAAGAGTCGAAATAAAAAGACCATTGCAAATTTATCATAGAAAATGTTTGATAGAAAATTCTACTTACATGTAGTCTTCAGTGATGAATGCCTGATGGGTCTCCTACCCTTAAGATGACGATGACCAGTAGACGATAACGAAAATAAAAAACTATAAGAAAGATATTTATCGCGACCACGAACGCGAACGCGGCCGAGACGTGCTTACGGACCGCACTGCACATCAAAAACGACTGAAAGAATGCATATGATTAGTATTCCTTTAAAATAAATCGAGTATTTTAATGTGGAATAAAATATGAAGGTAGTATTAAAGGGAAAACAATGAAATGAATTGTAATATGATATTAATTAGGAAATGAAAGAAACTAATTACAATTATAATGTTTATGGTAAGCGGTCTTTGGCTGGATTTTACTTGCAATGGAATGTATATCATATAAAATATGTTAAACATTATACTGAAGGTAAAATACCATTGCCCGGGTCTAACCACGAGGAGGTAACCGCTTCCGAAGACCCAAATTTTAACGAATATGAATTAAATTTTATTCGCCAGTAACACGCATCGATACTTACATGTTAAAGTACTAACAAAGAACTGATTAAAAAACAATGTAAGTAATCGAAACATTAAATGTTTACGATTCGGCTCAGTAACGAAACAATATTTAAAATAGTCATCTAGAAAACATAAAAATTAAAAACATATCAAAATTATTTTCTATTCAAAGCACGTTATAGATATGTAGTATTTAAACCAATGTATATGTGCTGAAACAATTTGAAATATAAGTGGAATGTATTAGAATATTAAAATAATTGTTAACTAATCGAAGGAAATGTATATTGTAATTTAAAAATATGGATGTACCTTTTGATGTACCTTCCTCTTCAAAATCTTCTGTTAGACTGAGACGTTGTCACATAAACAAGTTTTTTCTATCGAAAGTTGTTTATATGGCTTTCTGAAAGTTGCGCATGTGTGTATAACGAACATTTTAATTGTATTAAATAAAAATTAAGATTATAACGTTCTGATTTTACATTTTTTTTTATTTTTACGTAATTGTTACAATAAATGTAAATTTGTTTTAACGTTCCTGTGCAGTGGTGACTTCGGAGAGGGAAATTTTCATCGAAAAGAATATCACGTCGAAATCAATTAATATTTAAAGTATGCTAATAAGTATGTAATGCTTATACTAGTACATATATGTTTAAACAATCTGAAATATAAAGAGGGTGTATTAAAATATTAAAATAATTGTTAATTATTTGATAGAAATGTCTATTGTTGTTTAATTGTTCGAAATATATGATCTACGAACCATCCTCTTCGAAATCTATCGTTGAAATGAACCTTTGTCTTCTATGTAATTACTTTTATTGAAAGTTGTTTATATTACTTTCTGAACGTTGCGCATGTGTAAAAAAGGAATAATTCATCTAATCGATTAAATTTATGATTACAACAATCTGATTTTAACATTTTTTGTTTTTATGTAATTGTTTAAACTAATGTACATTTGTTTTAACGTTCTTTTGCAGTGGTGACTTTGAGGATAAAAATTTTTGTCGAATAGAATATCAGATCGAAATTATTTAATGTTCAAAGTATGTTAATAGGTATTTAATGTTTATACAAATGTACTTTGCATTATTTTTCTTTAATTGGTATTCAATTGATTCTTATATTAGAAAGTATTTAAATAATAATAAAACCAAGAGTGACCAATTGTTAGACATGAAATAGTTGGGTATTTCCTATATTTTTACAGGTATACCAATATATACAATTTTAATGTACGTATTCTTTCTGTACATTATTTTTGTATTTGGTTAATTCACTTAAATAAAGTTTTTAAGTTAAACTCATTAACTAATTATTATTAGTTTCATAAAACTAAATTAGTTATTAGTTTCATAAAAAAATCAGTTAAAATTCTTAAAGGATTGGAAAGAGGTATATAATTATATAAAATTTTATACCAAAAAAATATATAGTGAAATATTACTTTCATTCAATTCTTTATAACAATTTTTGTTTATATATTCTTTCTTCGTTATTTTTTCTTTTATTCTTTTTTAGTTCTTCTTTTCTTGTTATTTTCATGTACATATATAAAATAGTAATAGTAAAAAAGCCAAGAATAAATGATACCTATCGCGCAGTAAATTGATATAAGAGCTAAGGGTAGGAACGGTAGATTATCACCAAAAAAGAATTTGTGTAGTATTGACTCATAAGCAGCAACCAGAGGAAGTAAGCTTACATAGAGAAATTCGTGTAAATATAAGAGAGATTTTTTAAATAAATATCGTAATATTAAGTTAATCGAAAGTATATGTAATAACAATAATAAAATGTTCAAAGGGGTTAAATTGTTCGGGTAAAGCAGAGGTAAAAGTGAAGTGTGTCCAGCACTACTTAGTATTATGTAAATGCGAGCATCATTACTATCCACTGCGGCAAGAACACTGAAAAAGAAATATTAGCTTTTAGTTGCATACTTTAATTTGTATAATTACTGTAAAAGTAATATTATATTTTGTTTACCATAAAGGTATAATTGCAGTCAAGATAGCTTTTTCATGTACGTGCCAACCAAATATGAAAGACGTTAAAGCACAAAGGACCAAGCATCTAACAAAATTTGTTGGAGTAACTGCACCTTTTCTGCATAGTAAGATGTATAAGGCAGGCTGAACAAATTTAATATAAATATATTTCATTATTGAACAAACTTTCACTTTGAATTATGAATATTTGATTTTGTAAGAATATTAAATCTGAACTTACAAGCATTCCTACAAAAGTGAGCATAAATGTAATAATAGGTTTAGGAGAAGGTAAAACGAGAAATATTTCTTCTTGTACTAAACCTCCAGTCATTACAGCAGATTTAATTATTTTTATCCATCCTAAATATTTCCAAATAACAGATAGTATCTTATCTACGGTAACATATAGAGCCCATCCATTTGCTGCCCAATATGCATGGACTAAACCTCTTTTAAAAGGGAACAGTCGAGAAATAATCTATATAACATATTAATTTAGAACAATATCAAATAAATTTGTTATATGTACATCTAACAACATAAAAAACAAATATTTCACATTCTTACTTGTGGTAATTGATATATAAATGGTCCAAATGTCAGTGTTAATATAGTGGTAACTATTGCTGTTAATATAAAAATCCTTTTAATAAACTGACCATTTTTCATACAATATGATTTCAGTAACCAAACTATAAACGCTGGTGCTACATATAAATAAATATGTTTAAGATTTAATAGTATAGCAAAACAAGCGGCTCCTTGTAATATAGATGCCTGCAAGTATTTTTTATTATTAATACATAGTCTAACATTGACATAATATCATTTATAATGTACCTGATTCCATATTCTTGAAACATTAGCAATGGACAACAATAAAAAGCCTAATAGAAATCCATTATATTGAAAATGTATATGGTCCACGATCAGTAATCCTATATTGCATAACGACAGAAATATAAAAACGCAGTAACTGTTATAAGATTTATAAAATACTTCGCCTAATCTATAACAATATTATATCATTTATAACTTATGTTTTAATTAGTTATTTTTAGTTTCAATATATAGTATACGTACTCTCTTATACCATATGCAAACATAAGATCACTAACTATAACTGTAGTTCTTTGGAAGTAAATTGTAGTAGGCGAAGCATAGTTAAAATTATCAACTTTGAGCATTTCTTCGTCAAATAAACGAGCCACTTGACTAAGGGTGTATTCAAACCATGCAAAAAGTGGTGGATAGTCTAATGTCCATTGAGATTTGGCATTAATATACCATTCTTTAATAGGTAAACTATACGTTATAGCTAACCAATTACGGTGTACTTCAAAATCTGTGGAATAACTGAAAATGAGAGTTTACGATAAAGTAGATATACATTGACAATATTATATAAACAAATCAATTAAATACTTATAACCTAACTTGAACAAAACTACCTACTAACAAGGAATTAACAACGCCTTAATGCATGATATTACAGCAAATGTACGTAAAAGTGTTTTATCCATATTCCATTTTCTATTATATTGTTCTTTTTTATCCACTTCTTCTGGATTAGAAGTACTGTCAATTTTAGTACCAGCCATTATATCTGTGAATATCATTATTTTGTATTTTTAACGATAAGGAAACAATACCAGTAAATATACATATATTAAGTTTATAATACATACCACAAAAATTAAATGATAGTGAATGTTATACATAAGTCAGTATTCCCAAATAATTAGAATCTAGAAAATATTACTGCAAATGCACTGCTTTTTAAATATAAAAACTAATAAATGCATATAATAAATAAAAAAATTAATTATAATATCAAACACACACAACTTTGGAACATAAACCTATTAAATCGATCGAATAGTTCCTTTTAAAACTACGTTATTGATAGAGAAAATAAAATCGCATAAATAGTTCTGTAAAAGACCGCTAGATTGTTAGTAGCGTTTGTGATATTGTTAAACGACGTTGATTGGCTCTCGACTAGCGACGTTCATTACTCTTCTAGGAAGTTTCGAGAACGGTTCCGAACAGTGATATTGGTGGGAGAGCTACGCGTTACAACAGTTTCTTTAAATCTATTGCACGGTCGGAGAGGACGTGTTTCACTGCGGTTATACTTCCTTTAGCGACTTTTCTGCTTATACAGGTAAGAAAAAAATCAAACAATACATCCGATTAGTTTGTCACATATTTTGTACAAAAACTAATGTTCACGTACAAACTCACGCGATCGATTGGGATATACTTATTTTTTTTTTCTACGGAAGGAACAAATTTTTTGTAAAAAGGATATAAAACGGATCTCTAAAGGTCGGTATTTTCCTTTGTCAATACACACATACATAATTTTTTCGCTTTGCAAAATTGCTTCGTAATGGTTCTCGAACTTGTACTACGGGGAAGAGAGAAAGAGATAGATAGATAGACTGATAGATGAATAGAATATAGAAAAGCATGATTGATTGTACGAGTATCATGTGATAAATTATTTATTTTTTTCCTTTTTTAAATATAACATATATAAGTTGTTAAAACGTATGAAAATATTCATCATTTTTAAAATATTAAACTCGATAAAATTTCAATGGTCGAGCGTGCCTTTAGCGCCCTAAGAGTTCGTCGAAAAATGGTGGATTTTCCTTGCGAGAGAGTCTTCTCTCTCTACGTCAAATCAAGTATCGAACGAATTTACGAATCGTCGGTACAGTTCGTGCATATGACTGATCGCATGCGCGCTTGCGTGTATAATCGTAGGAATCGTTATTTTACTCGGATGATATTAAATGGCTTTTAGTAAATTTGAAATCGAATGATTAAACGTTAAATTCATATGAATTTTTTTTTGTATTCCTTTACTTATCTATTGGGATATAACTTATGAGACTTTTGTGTTTTTTTGTCTGTCTTTCTCTCTCACTCTCTCACTCTCCTATTTCACTCGCTCTTTCAGTCTTTCGGAACGAAGCGCTGCTTCCTTCACGTCGTTCGTTCGTTGCTCTATGAAACGTTTGTGCAAAAGGAAGGATCTAGAAAACGTAAAGTCATATTTATGTACTATTATTTATATTTGAAAAATTGGATTATTTATTATCCCGCATTTTTCTGATCGGAAGCATCTTAAAATTTCTTTCTCTGCGTTATTTTATTATTTTATATCGCGTTAGTCTTCCTCGGTCGCCATTTTGAAATCAGATCTGTTGGATTGTCCACATGGACGGCATGTAGTTGCTAGATATTTCTATTGGCAGTAAGAGAATCATACGTTACAAGTGATATTTATTTTATTTTATTCTATCTTTTCTTACTTATACCTTTATTATCTACGACGACACTGTGTTCGTTGCAGATACGTCTGACGTGTCATCCTCTCATTAAACTACGCCAACTTATTGTGCTGTTTCACTTTTTTTTTTTAGTTTTTCCCTTTCTTTCTACTTTATCGGATTACGAAGCCTAGAAATTACGCCAACAGCTTAAATATATTTCCTTCATTATAGATCTCGAAAAAAGTTATTAACTTTGAATTACTTTGTTAGTCGACAGAGAGATCTAATGTATTCATTTTCGTTTATTCTAATGTCTTCATATTTTCAAATTCTAATTTAGTAGGAACTGTAAGGTTAGAATTCGGAAACCTGTTTGATTACTTTTTACCATTGTTTTTCAAGATGATACCAAGTGTTTATTAAGGATTTCCTTGACTGCTTGTTTAATGTGATTGCTATTTATTTATTGTACAAGTTTATGAAATTTTAAGCTCAAGGTCATCATTTTTAAATTCTTACCCATCTCTCTGATGCAATACATATTAATGTTTCATAATAGTTATACCGACTTTTGATTAGATCACATTATTAATTCCTTGAATCTATTTGTTATGCAAATCAGCTTGTAAAGTTTTGATACAAATGAATAATTCAATTCAACTTAACAATGATTAGTAAATAGATTTCTAAATACGGGTATATTAATATATTATACTAATAATTAAATAATGTAATGTATGTAATTCATTGTAATATTATTTAGTTGTTTTCTAGCAGGAACAGTTGTGTAATACTTCGCATTTATTGGTATCTATATCGAAGAACATTATCCAGACAAAATGGTGAAAGAAACTACCTTTTATGATGTCTTGGGCGTTAAGCCTGATTGTTCTCCGGAGGATTTAAAGAAGGCATACAGAAAACTTGCACTCAAATATCATCCGGATAAAAATCCTAATGAAGGAGAAAGGGTTATTATCTATTTCTTTTTACTTTTTTTAACCGTTATGCGAATAGTAACTTAAATTTTAGTAAATTTTCATAGAATATATAATAATAACAATATGTGTAGTTAAAATTAGTAACTTTTAATCATATTTCAGTTTAAGCAAATTTCCCAAGCCTATGAAGTATTATCAAATCCCGAGAAGAAACGCATTTATGATCAAGGTGGCGAGCAAGCTTTAAAAGAAGGTGGAATGGGAGGAAATGGTTTCTCTTCTCCAATGGATATCTTTGATATGTTCTTTGGTGGAGCTTTTGGCGGGGGACGTGGTAGAAGGAGAGAACGAAAAGGACAGGATGTTATACATCAGCTCTCTGTATCATTGGAAGAACTTTATAATGGGACTGTTCGTAAACTAGCATTACAAAAAAATGTTATTTGTGATAAATGCGAAGGTAAATATTTATCGATAAATTGCCATATTATATTTATTTTATTAATTTTATCTTTTCTAACATTAATCTATTTTGTATGTAGGTATTGGTGGTAAAAAAGGTTCTGTAGAACAGTGCACATCATGCCATGGAAGTGGCATGCAGGTCCAGATACAACAATTAGGGCCAGGGATGTTACAACACATGCAAACGATGTGTTCTGAATGTAAAGGTCAGGGTGAACGCATCAATCCGCGTGATCGTTGTAAGCAATGTATGGGAAGGAAGACTGTGAGAGACAGGAAAATTTTAGAGGTACACGTTGATCCAGGTATGATGGACGGACAAAAAATAGTTTTTAATGGTGAAGGAGATCAAGAGCCTGAGCTGGAAGCAGGCGATATTGTTATTCTCTTAGAAGAAAAAGAACACGATGTATTCAAGTAAGGACATTATTAACTGTTATTTTCACTTTAATTTTTGTCGTGTATTTTTCGATGATTCGGTATTAATTAGTGTTATCTTTTTTGTAATTTTAGACGGTCACGACACGACTTAATAATGCGAATGCATTTAGAATTGGTGGAAGCACTTTGTGGTTTTCAGAAAGTTATTCGTACTTTGGATGGTAGAGATTTGGTTATCACTATGCTTCCCGGTATGGTCACGAAGCACGGTGATGTTAAGTGTATTCTAAACGAGGGTATGCCAATTCACAAGGATCCATTCACGCATGGCAAACTTATCATTCAGTTTATCGTCAATTTCCCGAAATCTATCAATCCTACTATTATTCCGACTCTCGAGCAATGTTTACCGGCGAGGGAAGAAGTTTTAATTCCGGATGGTGCCGAGGATGTTATACTTACCGATTTAGACCCTGAAACTGAGCACAGGCGGAGAGACCAACGACCAGCTTATGAGGAAGATCAAGGAGGTCCATCGCGGGTCCAATGTGCCACGCACTAAGCTTAGTTACGCAGATCTTAATAAACATGGCCACTTTCTCATTTCAAACTTTTGTCCCATTCGTTCGATTCTGAGTCATACATAAATAAAAATGGAAAGAAAAAACGACGGGTATTAAAAAATAAGAGTATCCTTCGACCGCAGTGAAAAACCCCAAAAAATTAAATAAAAAGGAAAATCAAAAATGAACAAAAAACGACTTGAGTATATTTGAATACGCGTACGGCCCTGTAACAGAAAAAAATTTCTAAAACAACACAAATCATGGACTGATGTGAGAGCGTGTCATCGAGGTACATTCAATGTTTTACTTATCCGTCATCCCGTAAATATCAAAGCATTGTACATTTTGGAAGACAATGCCAACTTGAATCTGGTAGTAAATGCTTACTGTAGGTAATCGCTAATGAAGTATACTTATCACTAAATGGAACGATAAAAGAAAGTAAACAATAATGTGTGATTCAACATAACATCTAACTTCATAGCAATTTTCGAATCGGTTTTTTTTCTGCAATCGGACTTGATGATTCTCATTAAGTAAGCGGTGGTAAACGTAATTATCTTGTTAAGACCGCATGTCGATGATATATATATATATAAATGATTTGTCTTAAAATATGTAAAATCCGTTTATTGTCATTAATTTAGTTCAATATTAATGGGTTTTATCTATTTGTAATTATCTCTGTCTCGATATAAAATAATAAAGTGTCGTCATAGTAAAGTTTATCGCTAGATGCGATAACATTGAAAATGTGGCATTAGGAATCCGAAAGCAGCTTATAATATTAATAATAATAATAATAATAATAATAATAATATTAATATTAATATTAATTATAATAATAATAATAATAATGGACATTATTCCATATAAATAGTATTTCAATTCATGCGCCTCCGAGAAAACTCGTGATCTAAGAAGAATAAAAGTTGCGAAGAAGAAAAAATGTGAAAGAAAAAAAAAGGAAAGAAAGAGAAAGAAATGAGAGCGAGAGAAAGACAGCAATGAATTACGTTCCTCTGTATGTATGGACAATTGCGCGTGCGTAAAACTTTGATTTGTGTAATATCATGACATCGTTTCTTATATCGTATGTTTATAAGAATAATCAACACTTAGGAAGCAGAATACCTGAAGTATTTGTTTTTTCGACGGATATTAAAAAAATACAATTGGTTTTAAAAGGTGAGTCGAGATTTTTGACTCATCGGTGTGTGCGTCGTATGAAACGGTATTATCTAAACCTTTTTCTCGTCTAATCCATAATCAGTATAATTAGAGAGAAAAAAAATGAAGATTAAAATGTGCACGGAGACGTGTCATTTATCTGTGTATGATTTATAAGTGAAAGAACAACGTGTGCGTTTAGTGTCGCTGATTTTAGTATGAAGATAGATCGAGTTGCAGATAATGAATTTCTTTTTTAGTTTTATTTGTTCGATAATTATGTCTTTAACATTGACGGTATTGAAGGATAGAAGAAGAAGAAAAAAGAATAAATAAAAAGACATTGGTCGACTATTTTTATTCGATCGCGCATCGACTTTGCTGCGTACTTTACAGTCTTGTCTTTTCCACAATTAGCATAATCGATGAAGGAAGTTAAGAAGAAGTACAGTTTAAATACATTCGCATAATTTAATCATATGCAAAAGTATGTTTATCACTTCACGGTCGTCTACTACAGTAAGCTATAACTATAATGATTTGCAAACGAATAGTCGTATATTTCTTGTAACCTTATTTATTATAGACAAATTGGTGATTAGTCATTTTTTGAAGCATCTGAATAAATTGGACGAAGCATAACGTATAAGTGATAACTTTGTTTGCGTTTGATATACACTCATCACCTAATTCTCCCTAAAAATCTTCGAAACAATTCTAATCAATCGTCTATGTGTATATGTCACCGTTAAATTATATAATTCAGTTAAGTCGTGGTTTTACTCGAAATAACTAAGCGTTTTTGGGAAAGCATATAAAAAGAGTTTTATTATATATTAAAACTAATAGTTTTATAGATAAAAACCTATATATATATGAATTTACAAAAGGCGAGAGAATAGTTGAAGTATGAGATTGAAATTTGATCCATCTTTAAAATCTAATTGTTTTTCTATAACAAGTGATACGTTTTTATTTCATCCTGTACTTTGAAAAACAATGTTTTATTGTATTAATCGTGCTGTTTTATCGGATTTAATTTACGAATTAAATTTCAATTTCATACTTTAACTACTCGCTTCTTAGAAGGCAGAATTACATATTTTAACTACTTAATATATGAATTTATATCAGAATTTAGCTAGTCATTTCACGAATTAACGGTTTTCATAAAGTACCACTAATATATCATATACATACACGCATATATATACGAGAGGTCGAATTTTATAGTAGTTTTTGATTACACAAGAATAATAATATTAGTCGGGATTATTCGTGGTCGAATTTTAGCGGTACATGTCACGTGGTATTAAGTTGAAAGGTAGTTCGGTTGAGGGGAAGGGGGGGTTCAAGAAGAAGAGCATAGATGGCAGTGCAATCTTGGGTCAACGTTTTTACGATGTATCGTAAGATTGGAGCAAGCGGCCACCAAGAGGCAGCCGCCGAGATGCCGCAAAGGTTTCTGGGTATGCGGAGGGAGCCATATTTTTTCAATATCAGTTACGCGAAAACAGCGTACGCATAGCATCCGCGGAATGGAATCACGATTGTCGTCCTGCTCGGAGAGCGCGTCCCTTGGTGTAAAGTGATAAGGAGGGTGAGTCGACGAGGAACAAGCGTCAAGGACGATTCCATACCGACTGTGATATCTAAATCTATATATATCTATATGTGTATACATATGTATATATAGATATATATATATGTATGTATATGTACAAAAATATATACACAAATGTGTTGATATATACCTATGTTTCGTGAGCGGATCGAAGTAGAAAGAAGAAACATAAAATGGCAACGTAACAACGTGAGAGAAAAGAAGGAGAAGAATATAAAAAAGAGAATAAAAAGAAATAATAAAGTAAGAAGAGAAAGAAGAGGCACGCGATCGAGAAGTAAGATAGAAAGGTAGAGCAAGAGAAGAGGGTAGGAAGGAAAATCGAGGAGTGCTGCTGCGTTGTAGCCGCGCAGGTGTTCTCGAATCCGCGGAAGAAGAGGGTTAGTTAAGTTAACCCGTGGTAGCGCGCTCGCGGTGGTAGTGGTGGTAAAATAGTGGCGGTGGTGGAACCGGGTGGTGTTGGTGGTGGATCGTGTCGGTGGTGGAAGTGAAGGAGGAGAAGAAAGACGTGGAGGAGAAGGAAGAAGAAGAAGAAGAGGAGGAGGAGGAAGAAGAAGAGAAGGAGGAGAAAGAGGAGGAGGTGGTGGTGGTGGTGGTGGTGGTGGTGGTGCTGCCGCTGCTCCGCTGCTGCTGCTGCGACAATGACACAGCGTCATAACACGATGTTCGTCCGGCCGTGCGATTTAACGTAAAACAAACGGCGTTCTGTGGCATCGAGAATTTAATTCCTTCTCTCTCTCTCTCACCGTTCTGCTTACTAGCGAGCGATCAAACGTTCTATGTGAAGTCGCGCGAGGGAATGATCTACGTCGTTTCGTGTATGCTGACGTGGAAGGGATAAGAGAGGAAGAGTGAGAGAGAGAGAGAGAGAGAGAGAGAGTGTGAGTGAGTAAAGAGGAGAAGGAGAAGGAGGAGAAGGAGGATCGGTAGAAGAAGGGCGACAAGGAGCGAGGAAGAAGTAGAAGAAGAAGAAGAGGGGAGAGTCTCCTTTCTCGATGCGGAGAGCGGTTTCTCTCGTTTCCCGTGACAGTGGGCCACGATGACACGAACGAGTGTCGTTCGTTCGTTCGACGAGTAGTAGCAGCAGCAGCAGCGGCAGTAGCAGTAGCAGCAGCAGCAGCAACAACAGCAGCAGTAGCACTAGCAGTAGCAGTAGTAACAGCGACAACAGTAGCAGCAGTAGTAGTATAGTAATAACAGTAATGTGACCAGTTGTGTAAGTGGTCAGCGTGTGTGTGAAACGGTACGATATCGTAAAGCCGGCTTGCAGCGAGTAGTAGTTCGATTAGAAGGATTGCCACGTATAGTTTCTTTGGAAGAGAGTGATTTTAACTTGTATATTTGCATATATATATACACATTATACATACATATATATATATATATATACATATATACACGTAGCAGACGCACGCGTCTGTCAGTACGGAGAGGCGTCCTTCACGATCGAGGTCGCTACGATCGGTCGTGTCGTGTCTGTTCGTTCATTGCCGGTCATCGATATCAAGGCAAGATTGCGCCCTTTCATTCGAGGAGGAAAAGATAGACAAAGTGGAGAGACGATACGCCACACGGCCTTGGAACCAGCCGAGGCGTAGTAGTGTTTTTCTCTCTCTCTCTCGCTATCGCGCGCGTCTTTTCACAGCAGCGTACGCAAGCTCGTTTACCGGCAGAGAGAGACAGAGCGTGCGCGCGTTCTAGCCGGTACAGCGCTAACATCATTTAGCTTACATTAGACGAGATATGGAAATTTTTGTCGTCTTCTATTGTTCTATTTTTATTCGTCTAAAACTATGCGCGAGTGTTATTAATACTTCGGATTTTTGTCAATCGATCGAATAGTTTTGAAATCGTCAATGGATTTCTTATGAATGGGGAGGAGTGCGAAGAGGACAACACGTTTCAAGGTTGATATGATAGAAATAGAAAGATAAAGAGAGAGAGAGAGAGAGAAAGAGATAGAGATAGATAGAAAGGGAAAAGGTTTGGGGCGCGTGTGTGTCGTGCAAGTGCGATTTCGTTGTAACCTCGAAGCTAATCTTAAATCTATCGTCCTGGATATCATCGCGTGGACAGGTAACTCTTCCGCCGAGGATGTCGTGCTACGACGACGGCCGCTCCGATAGTACGAGCAGTAGCAGCAGCAGCAGCAGTAGTAGTAGTAGTTATAGTAGGGGTAGCGGTAACACCGGTACTAGCAGTGGTGGCAGTGGCACTAGTGGTAACAATAGCAAGAACAGTAGCAGCAGAAGCAACAATAAGAAGATTAATAGTAGCGAAGAGAATAGGAGACCCGAAACGTGGAAGGAAAGCAAAGTAGGTAATCTCGTCATTCTTCGTCTGATGCCGGTCGTAAAGGCGTGATCGTTTCTTTTTCGACGGAGGATGCGTCAAAGCGACAGCAACGATAATCTTCTAGTGGTACCTAAACGTAGGCGTGCGCCGTGCGTTCCAGTGATGTCGGGGTTCCTTGTAGCACCGCTGGACCTGGACCATGGCCGGCAAGCCTGAGCAGCAGCCGTCCACGCACCCTGCTCCCCCGAACCACGATCATCATCATCATCAACAGAAACAGCAACAGCAGCAGCAGCAGCTTCAGCTTCAGCAACAGCACCCGCAGTATCAGCATCAGCAGCAACAACAACATCTTCAAAATCCACAGCATCAACAGCAGCAAAACAACGGCGGTGGTGGGAGCGTTCTGGTTTACGTTTCGGGGGAGAACTTTGCTTACGCCACGGCGGTGGGTGGTCAAAATGCCGCCGCCACAGCCGCCGCCACGGCCGTCGCGACGACCACGGCCGGCTATCGGCTATCATCGCCGAGGCATCAGCCGGCGACGGCTTACGTTGCCGGAGGTGTCATTCCGACACATCTCCCGACGGCGGCTTCTTGCTTTCCCGCCAAAACCGCCAACTCGGCTGCAGCCCCCGTCGCCGCCACCACCACCACCACCGTTGCTGCTATCACCACTACCACCACCACCGCTATTACCACCACCACCACCGCCGTTGCCGTTGCCGTTGCCGTTGACCGTACTCGGGCGAATTTGAAAAGGTCTAATGATCATCATGCCGTTTCGATAACAACGACAACCACGTCTGCGATTACAACGACTGCGAATACGGCGACGACGACGACGACGACGACGGTAGTAGCTACGAGCAATACTCGAAGGGATCAGACGAGGTCGTCGAACGACGAAGAGGATGATTACGTCGGTGGTATCGTCTACGGAAGGACTCAAGTTGTCGCTGGTAGAATTCTAGGCAATGAATATTCCCAGAATGCCGGTAGACGAGCTAGCAAGGACGATACGAACTTCAAGATTTATTCCTCCCATCGTTACAACAACGCAGCAAACAGTACCGTTCCCGCTGCTGCCTCTGCTGTCGTTGTTGCAGGTTCTGGTGGTAATGTTGTTAACAGGATGGGTTTACTTGAGAGCAATGAGGCTCGAGTGACGCGTTTTGTGCGACAACAGACAAACGAGGTTGGTGTTGTCGATAGAAGAGACGATAAAGTTAGGCAGCAACAGCAGCAGCAGCAGCAACAACAGGATGGATATGAAGGGCAGACTGGTTCTTCTTTGTCCGGTGACTCGGTGAGGTCAGACATCGGGGAGTCATCGACGTACAGCAGTCTTAGCAGTCCAGAAAGTCAGAGTCAAACGTCTCCGCACGACGGCTCGAACAGCGTGACGATGAATGGTGCGGTAGGAGGTGGTGCTTGTACTAGTGCTAGTAGTGCTTCTTCTGGTGCGGGTGGTGCAAGTGGTGCGTGCGTGCAGCAACAGCAACAACAACAGCAATCGATGCGAACCTCAACGACGAGGCTCGCGGTTGCGAACAACAACAACAACGAGAACGGTGCTAACGCGCAGCACAATGTTGTGCTTACGATGAACGGTAATGCGGTGCTCGCGCAACAACACCAGCAGCAACAGCAGCACTCTGTTACGGTGCCACGTGGATGGAAGAGGATATTCGCAAACGGAGTCATCATTTATATCAGGTCAGTGATTTCTTTATTTTTCGTTTCTTTTTTTATTTCTTTTCCCTTTTGTTCCTTTTCCTTTCCTTTCTTTTATTTTGTCTTGTAGCCCGAGTCTATTACGTAGCCGGTCACGTTGAGTCATCCCAAATCTTTCCTTTCGAATGTTACGAAGGTGAAAGAGGGCTAAAGGGAATCGTCCTTGTTGGAAGTAAAAAGCATGTGTAGTACGGTTGCAGGTCTCCTCGTTCAAAACGGGTTTATCCAGAATCGCTTCAGCCGGCTCTAAAAAAAGGTTTCCTCGAAACATCCCCTTTCCTCTCCTCTTCTTCTTCTTCTTCTTCTTTTTCTTCTTCTTCTTCATCCCTTGTCCCCTTTTCTCGTTTCCCTTTGTAGTCCTTTTCACTGTCGACCTGAAAAACACGAATTTTCTGCGAGTGACGGACGAAGGAGAGCAGTTGTCTCTTTCTCTATCTTTTTCTCCGGCGCCCTTTCCCTTCCCATCAGGGTTAAAAAGAACGAAGGCGTCTTCCTTTCGTATCCTCATTGTACTTTTATAGTTCTTTTTCGAGAAGATCCATTCGAGGGATGTTTTTGACTCTTTCGTGCCGTTTCTACAGCAAAGTTTCCTTTCATCGGGATAGCTCGCACGCTCACCATTTGTCGTGTGAAGGAAGAATCTCTCATCCCTTTACTCTATCTCGTTCTCTTTCTTCTTTCTTAAGAGTTTTTTTCGAATGAACGTGAGTTTCATAAATTAAAATAAGTGAGAGGCGTGAAAAAGGCGTAGGTGGCGGAGGAGAAGGAGAAGGTGGAGGAGGAGAAGGAGGAGGGACGAACTTTCGGCTGACGATGAATAACGTTTGCTAAACCTTCAAGTATGTTCGGTGAAGAGAAAGTCGTAGAAAAGTTGACGAGGAGAAAGTTATAGATCGAATTCTTTTACTTGATTTACTCAATATCTAGTTATTCCAATAGAAATCTTTTTATATAGGGTGTAAGAGAAAGAAACGGTTAAATTTCACTAATGGATTCTTTATACGAGAAAAAGAGAAATAGGTTCTATCGACACGGGCTTTCAAATGATTAATGTTTATTTGCTGGGACTATGATACACTCTGTCAACATTTTTTTAACAGAAATTGCCTACTTTTTGTCTGAATACAGATCTCAATTCGTCTTTTCATTGAGTTCCTAATTTACAGCTATTTGTGGTTGCGAGTATGATAATCCATTTGGGGGCGTTAAAAATAAATTCAGCATAATACAAAATTCAGCAGGCATGGTTAGATATTTGAATATAATATAACCAACGTCTAATCAAATAATCATAACAGTAGTACATTGTCATCGTACTCGAAAGTGTTATAACTCAGAAATGAAATATTTCCAGATCTATGGTGGTAAAATATATTTTTCTTGTCATATGAGGAATTTATACTTAAATTTTAGTCACGTATTTTGTCACACTCTGTATAAGTTGCATTCCTTGTTCTTGACGAAGTTGTAGACGAAAAATGATTATTCTTGCTCTATTTCTCTATCTCTTGAAAATCTTTTTCGATGTTGAATGATTTGCTAGAAGGTCTTCGAAGTTTTGTGGAAGAACTACAAACACGTAATACAATTTTGCTAGGATCATGTGGGATCAACCATATGCTGAGAAAGGGTCTTATTCTTTTCCTTTTGTACGAAAGGAACGAGTAGGTAGAGATATATATAATATATCCTTTTTTTTCTTTTGTTTTCCAAAGTTTCACAAAACCGCAAAAGGCCAATGTCTCGTGGTCAACGGTCGTAATCGAGGACCAAACAGTTTGACCTGGCTCGTCTGAAAAGCTCGTTAAAACGATCCTTTCCAGGTTCTTTCTTTCTTTTTCTCTGTTGGAAGTCACGGTTTAAAAGACGTTTAAAGGGCCCTGGCAACAACTCTCCCAATATAGACCAACCCTAGATCCATATGGTCAAGCGAACTATTTTCTCTCTGAATCAACTAAACGTTTTCCCTTTTTTCGTCAGTTTTTCTCTTGTTCTCGTTTTTCTTTTTTTTTTCCTTCGCTTTTTCGTTTATTGTCGTTTTTCTTCTCTCCTTGCACCAAATCTCTGGATATCAACTGCTACTCATTGCCCTTATTGTCAGTTACCCAAATCTATGTTACGCTTGAATTTTCGTCCTTTTGAATATCCTGCTCGAATTTTACAAGACTCCTACTGTTCTTTCCTAGAAACCCATCTTTTATATTTTATTCTCATATATACGAAACAGACCACCTTTGTAAAATCTTCGAAAATAGGGTCTATCGACGTTAACAATACTAAGGATGAGCATTTTTAGTGGTATAAAATGTAAGTTTGTCATTTATTGGAATAGAATTTGAGTTATTTTCATGGCATCAAACAACAATCGATTTGTAACAGAAAACTGTAATTTAAAACTTGTTGACTCAAATTCATTTCTGTAATCATAGTCCAAATTGATGATCTTTCTTTTTTCAGCGATTTCAAGTGCTCAACAGCTAAATTTTTATGCGCTTTATACATGTTATTTTTTCTTAGATTGCTCACGAATAAATAATCTTTTATATAGTTCAGAAATTTTCTAAAGCGATTTAATATTTCATAGATTACCCAGAACAAGTGTGTTAACACACATTACCTCATACTGTAATATAGCGTAGATTATGAAAGTAATTTTGCAAATAATAACAACAAATATTTAATATGAGTATATACTTAGAATTTCAACACGCTTCAGTTTATGTACGGGCATAAAACTAGTTCCTAGGTTTGAGAATTGTGTTGTGATCTCGATCATGTCTCCTATATATATATTCTTTTTGATTTTCTATTATTTAATCAAACTTTTTTTTATTAGTTTCTAAATTTTATTGATTACATTTCATAACTAACCAGAACCAATGGTTAAAAACCAGTACTGTATTGATAAAAATAGTACATATGGTCACCTTATACAAGAGTGAATTTGCTGAAGAACAAATCGGTATTCAAGGAGGAAAAGAAAGGAGGAGTCTTCTTACATGTGAAGGGGCTTGGAATAATCGGCCATTCGAATCTTCGAATTTGGATGTACGCGAAATTTGGTGGTCGTGTGTGGCTTTGGTGCTCTTGTGTCGGCGATTTGTCGTGAGAGATTATCGATCGTCATCGATCCTATCGAAAATGGGGAGGAATATCGAAGTGGCTTATTTCTTTTTTCTTTTTTCCTTCTCTCGTTCCGTCTTTCTCTGTCTTTTGAACAGACTCGTGGACAGGAAGCGTCGGAATGGTCGGAAGGAAGGGAAAGGAATTTGGTCGAACCGCGTTGTTCGTGCGATCATTGATTTACGATGGTACGTCGTAAATACCAAGGGTGATGTACGACCATGACCATACTCCTCCACCTCCCCTATCTCTCATCCCCCCTACCCCGTTGTCCTTTTCCAACTCTTACCACGCGCAGCTTCTTCCTTCTTCCTTCGTCGTCGAACGCCAGCAGCGTTCCTTTCACGGACCTTCTTCCTTGATTTATAATACCTATAGGCTCCTTGTCTCTTCTCTTACATACCTCCCTGCCTTTACGGACTGCGGAGGCTATCAAAGTAATTCCTTCGGATGTCGTTTCAGAATTTCTTCGAATTCCGTTTCCCTCGCACACTATTCTCTTTCTCTCTTTATGTATCAGATTTTTTCTTTCCCGTCCTTTTTCTCTTTTAAACAACAATGATGACGTTTCCAAAGAGACTAACTATTGTATTTGTACTAAACCACGTTGTAATGGCATATCCATTTCTTTTATCTTTTATACCTTTTTTACCTTAAAATAACATTTTATTTACACCCACGACTTTGTCCTTTTATTATGTCTCTTTTATTATTCTTTATTTATATTTCAGGAAATATTCAATATATACTTATTGTATTTTTATTTAATGACCAATTACACATCATTTTGTGTAATTATACGCTTGGCTCGTAATCAAACAATATCGTTTTAAATTGTGTTGTGTTTACAGATAAATATAATATATTAAATATAATAGAAGTTCTTCACGTAAAATAAAATAACATTTATGATAATCTTTCTATAACATGGTATATATAGATATTAATTTTTATAGTATATAAAAAAATATACATTTACATAAATTCATTATATAATATAACTTATATGATTTGTATGAAAGATTCATCATAATTATTCTTATATATAATGAAACACGTAGAACAATATTAAATATTTTATTTTTACAATTTGTAGAAACATATTATTTTAATTTATGATACACATTAAAATTCAATGATATAACAAGTTATACTTAAAAAAATAATAACAATTATCGCACAATATTTAATGTTTAATTTCGACAATTTTTAGAAGCAACACATTACATATAATATATTTTATTTGTTTTGTTATTTATGTTTATCATTAATTAGAATTACAAAGGATTATGAATGAGCGTTTAACGTTTACGAACCAAACTGAATAATCGGAGCGTATTGCATAATGAGATTGCAAATAGATCATGCAATTAAGCATGCGTACGAACGCGTGGAACACAGCGTGCCACGCCGGCGAGCACGTGCGAGCCGTAAGGTTAAAATGCGGGATCGGCTGTAATTTCTAACGAATGAACGAATGAACGAATGAACGAATGAACGAACGAACGAACGAATGAACGAACGAACGAATGAATAAACGAGCGTGCGCAATTCACGCTTGGTTACGTGCTTTCTGTCACTTTCATCGTTTGCCAAGTTCCTCAACGTAAATCTAACGTAATTATTTTTTTTTCCTAAACTTTCACCCCACAAATACCACCCCTCTTTCTTTCCTTATTACTCAATACCGATTTGATCGTAAGACATGTTTAATTAATGTTACGAAAAAGTATGTGGAAAAAAACCAAGACACGAAAAGGAAATCAAATCGGTTGGAATTTTAAGTATGTCGTTTGATCGAAGGTTAGAAAATTATTCAAATGTGCCAGGTGTTTTTTCTATTTTTTTTTCTTCTTCTT